GCTATATGCGGGCACCCCCGCCGTCCCTTTTGAAAAATAAGATTCTGGTTATTTTGCTCCACAATGGACTTCACATGGTTTTTTGACAAAGATGGTGGTGGGGGACCCGCATTGGTCCTGGTTGGCTTCTGGTCGCCCGGGGGAGAGGATGTTTTTAAAGAGGGAACAGTGATCATCCCCTTCCCAAAGGGGGGTGGAGGACGAACCGCGCTGAACCACCCATCCCTCATTGGGCTGATGTTTTTTGTTCGATCTGGCGATGTCGTATTCTGGGTCGTGCCGCACATATTAGTTTTCAATCAAGGCTTCGCCATCAAAGCAGCCTCTAGACTGCTCCAAGCTGCGCAGTCGGGCTGCAGAAGTACGACGCTTCGCGCCAGCACGGCTGGACGACTAAATATGTTTAGTTGGGACCCTTAGGGTTATGGGGTCCTCTGGGGGCCCTGGGTCCTTTCCGGTTTTCTGGGGATCCCATGCAAGATTCGTGTTTTTTTTTTTTCCCCCCCCCAACCATCTTGTGGTGTTGGGTCCTCGTTTTGAAGAGACCGTCCCCGCGTCCCTCCTCCCACCTCCCTTCCCCTCCTCCCTCCTCCCCCTCTTCCTTCCTCCCTACGTTTCACCCACCCAGTACAGCGTTCCGTGGCCCCATAGGGAGCTCCACCGAAGGCCCCAGTGGCAGGATTCGCATGGCGGCCCCGCTCCATTTTGGCGCACCCTTCACACGGTTCATGGCCCCATAGGGAGCTCCACCGAAGGCCCCAGTGGCAGGGTTCGCATGGCGGCCCCGCATTTTGGCGCACCCTTTCACACGGTTCGTGTCCTTATAAGGAGCTCCACCGAAGGCCCCTGTGGCAGGGTTCGCATGGCGGCCCCGCATTTTGGCGCACCCCTCACACGGTTCGTGGCCCCATAGAGAGCTCCACCGAAGGCTCCAGTGGCAGGGTTCGCATGGCGGCCCCGCGTTTCGGCACACCCCTCACACGATTCGTGGCCCCATCGGGAGCTCCACTGAAGGCTCCAGTGGCAGGGTTCGCATGGCGGCCCCGCATTTTGGCGCACCCCTCACACGGTTCGTGGCCCCATAGAGAGCTCCACCGAATGCCCCTGTGGCAGGGTTCGCATGGCGGCCCCGCATTTTGGCGCACCCCTCACACGGTTCGTGGCCCCATAGGGAGTTCCACAGAAGACCCCAGTGGCAGGTTTCGCATGGTGGCCCCGCTTTATTCTGGCACACCCCTCACACGGTTCGTGGCCCCATAGGGGGCTCCACCGAATGCCCCCCCCCAGTGGCAGGGTTCGCATAGCGGCGCCGAGCCATTTTGGCGCACCCTTTCACACGGTTCGTGGCCCCATAGGGAGTTCCACCGAATGCCCACAGTGGCAGGGTCTCACATGGCGGCGCCGCGCCATATTGGCACACTCTCACACGGTTGGTGGCCCCATAGGGAGCTCCACCGAAGGCCCTAGTGGCAGGGTTCGCATGGCGGCCCCGCATTTTGGCGCACCCCTCACACGGTTCGTGGCCCCATAGGGAGCTTCACCGAAGGCCCCAGTGGCAGGGTTCGCATGGCGGCCCCGCCCCATTTTGGCGCACCCTTCACACGGTTCGTGGCCCCATAGGGGGCTCCACCAAAGGCCCCAGTGGCAGGGTTCGCATGGCGGCCCCGCCCCATTTTGGCGCACCTTTCACACGGTTCGTGGACCCATATGGAATTCCTCTTGCTTCGTCCCACTTGCCCTGCGTCTCTCACACTTGCGTATGGTTGGGTCTTTCGCCAGGATAATTGGGTACTCCTTGTCCCGCTCTGGAGGAAAATTCGGACCCGTCTTGGACACTAAGATTTCTCCGCGGGCCTCATCTGCTTCCTTGTGGTCCTCCTGGGGCCCTCCTGGGCCGTCCTTGAGCCCTCTTTGGGCTCCTTGGCCATCTGGTAGCCTTCTCGGGGCCGCCTCAGGCCAGTCTAGGTCCAGGGGTCCCTCTTGTGCCTGCTGCTCTGGCAGAGTCAGGGTTTTCAGGCGTTGTTCTGGTCGCGTTTCCTTGCGGACGGCCCCCTGGGCCGTCAAACATTTGCTTGGCGTGAGAAGACCAGTTCTCAGGGAAGGGGTCCAGAGCTCGGGGCTTGCGCCGTAACCAACTCATGACGACGGAGGTCTGCCTGCTCCAGGAGGATCGAGGCGTCGGTTCTCGCAAGCAGAAAACAACGCAAGCATAATCGTTCGAAGGTCCGTGCGGATCTCTTGGGTCACGGTCGGGCCCCCCCTGGCGGCGCTGCGGCGCCGCCCCTGGCGCGCTTCGCGCGCCGTGGAGGGGGGTCCGCGCGCACTTCCACTGCGAACAGCCCGAGGAGGCGCCGCAGACGGTTCAGTAGAAACCAGAGGCGGGCCCCAGAGGGGAGGCCGAAGGGAGGGAGCGCGAACCCCGGGCCCAATCGTTCCGCTCCAACTGGCCTCCTGGAAACCCAAGAGGCCCACCACATGCCCCCGAAGAGACCGCCAAGAGGCCGCCAGGAGGCCCCCCCAGTGACCCAAGAGAAGCACGAACAAGCTTCAAACAGCCTCTCCCCCTCAGAAGGCCCCACCGATGTCTTTCAGAAGTCCCCGGGAGGCCGCCCTCGAAACCGCGGCGAACATCCAAGATGCCTCCAGCACTCGACGCAAGCACCAAGGAGGACTGTACCTAATGACGCCCGTGCCGTACATACGGAACTACATGCATGTGTTTGCATGCCGCTGGCAGCAGCGGTCGTCAATCTCGTACGCCTATGGAAGCGTTGGCAATCGTGGTCGTGGCCATGGAGGTCGTAGCAAGGGTACCGATTGTGACGGGGGCGTCCGTAGCGAAAGCGTTTTGTGGCGCAGCTGGACTAGAAACTAAACGCACGTAGCGCGCTTGTTTTTAATCAACATATATACATACATGCGTACATTTAGACACACTCACACATTATACACATATATATAAATATGTATTATTTCATTCATATGCACATGTGTGTGTCATGTATATGTGTATGTATCTGCTTGCACACGCACATCTGTCTCCCTGTATCGAAGACGCCTACGGCGAATCACCGCCGCCCTCTGCCTTTTTGGAAGCGCCTAGGTGGCCGAACGTTGAGGTCAGATCTGCCAAGCTAGCGGACCATGTGTTCCCCGAATCGGTTTGGAAAGCCTTCGGGGAACACGTGGGCATCTTGAAGGTCATCTTGACCGCCTGGAGGCCATTTTGACCCTTTCGGGCCTTCTTGGAGGACGTCTTGGAGGGCTTTTGGGCCGTCTTGGAGGTCATCTTGAGCGTCTTGGAGGCCTCTTCGGCCGTCTTGGGGGCCTCTTGGGGCCGTCTTGGGCCTTTTGGGCCATCTTTGGGGGCACTTGGGCCGTCTCGGCCCGTCGGAAGGCCGAAAACTCATGGGAAATCAGTGTTTTTGGCATTTTCTGGCCTTCCTGGAGGCCCTCTCGGAGGCCTCTTGGGCCGTCTTGGGCCAGCTTCGAGCCAACTTCGGCCATCTTGGTGGGCCCCTGGCCCGTCTGACGCCGTCGGGAGCCGTTTGGGGGGCCTTTCTGGGCCGACTTGGGGCCCTCTTGGGGTGCTCCAGGGCTGTCTTAGAGGCCACCGTGGGCGAGAGGCTCGCCGAGGCGCACCGGAGGCCTCTCGACAGTGGGGATGCGCACGATTAACGTAGCGGTGTTGATGATGGTGGTGGTGGGAGCGCGAATGAGGTCGATGATGATGATGATGATGTTGCTGATGATGATGGTGATGCTGCTCCTGCTGATTATGATGCTGCTGCTGCTGCTGATCATGATGCTGCTGCTGATGATGATGCTGCTGCTCATGATGATGATGATGATGATGATGATGATGATGTTGATGATGATGGTGGTGGTGATGGTGATGGTGATGGTGATGGTGATGGTAATGATGATGATGATGCTGTTAATAATATAAATGAAGATGCGATGCTGATGCTGATTATGATCCTTGTGATGGTGATGGTGATGGTGATGATGATGATGATGATGACGATGATTATGGTGGTGGTGATGATGACGACGATGATGATGGTGACAATGCTGATGATGCTGATAATGGTGACGATGATGCTGCTGATGATGCTGATTAGGATTATGCTTATGATTCTGATGGTGATGATGCTGTTGATGATGCTGATGCTGATGATGATGACTATAATGCTGATGCTGCTGCTGATTGTGAAGATGATGTTGAGGATGATGATGATGATGATGATGATCATGATGATGATGATGATGATGCTGACGACGATAATGATGATGCTGCTGCTGCGGATGATGCTGCTGCTGATGATGATGATGCTGATGATGATTATTATTATGATGATGATGCTGATGATGATGATGCTGATAATGATGATGATGCTGATTATCATGATGATGTTGTTGATGATGATGATGATGATTATGATGGTGATGATGATGATGATGATGATGCTGCTGCTGATGATGATGATGATGATGCTGATGATGCTGCTGATGATGATGATGATGATGATGATGATGATGATGATGATACGCGAGTTGGACGTGACCAGATGGCTTGAAGTGGTGGTGATAGATGATATTGATGATGCAGCTGATGAGGATGATGATGATGGCCATGCGTAGCATCACGGTGACGATGATGAGGATGAGGAGGAGGATGAAAAGGAAGATAGGGGATGAGGATAGCGGTGAGGATGGGTACGACTAAGGCACGCGCTTGTGCACGATAGCGCTTTCCAAGCTTCCAGCGACCCCTCCGCCTGCCCTAGAACCTGAGCGTGCGCGATGGTTCTAGCTGGTGTACATGCCTTCCTGTCCAAGTCAGGAGGGTGTATTCGCCGATCCTGGGTCCAGGATGAGCCTGGCCAGGATCGGTGCAGATATATCGTCGGCGTCCTGCTCGAGGGTCGAGCAGGGTGCGGCGGCCAGCCCTGGCCGATTCTCGCCAGCGTTTCCCGCAGAGCCAGGCCCCCCCCCAGGTTCTTCAAGACGGCGCTGGCGGACGCGGGCAGCGCGACGACGTCCGCGCAGGAGCCAGGCCCCGCCTGGCCGTGGTGGCCGGAGGGAGGAACAGGCCGGACCGAGAGAACCAGTGCAGAGGGTGAGGGTTTAGGCGGGGAGGTCGGGCGCGAGGGGGCGGGTTCGGGGGCGGGGGTCGGAGGCGGGGCCTGAGCTCAAGAGACGTGGGGTCGGGGGTCGTAGGGGATGAGCGATCCAGGGGGGGAGGGGTGGGGTGTCCAGCGGTGGGGTCGGGCAGCCAAGCCGAGCGCGGTGGAGGCGGGGTGGGAGCGGGGCGGGTGTCCGGGGGGGATTCGGACGAGGGAAGTGGGGGGCTCCTCCCGCTCTCCGGGGCCCGCGGGCGTCGCCCCAGCCAGCCGCTGGCCTGGAGATCGGGTCAGCGTGGTGCCCGGGATGGGTCCAGGTGCCGGTTTTGAGCGAGCTTTGGTGGGGGGGGAGGGGAACCCAGAGAAGCTCGCGTCGTGAAAAAATCACGACGGAGGTATTTCGTCGTTTTCGGCCTCTGGGGGCCTTCGCCGGGCCGCGGGACCGTCAAACAACGACTCATGATGAAAAGCCAGCCCTGGGGAAAGGGTTTGTATTTCTGGGGACCCCAAGACATCGGATGTCTGGGAAGGGAAAGAGGCGTGGTAGGAGGGGAGGTCGGCCTTTTGATAGCAAGGCCGATCGCTGGAGGAGGCACGGGGGAGCAGGGCGAAGCTGGAGGGATCCGGCACTGTGGTAGCTTCTCGCTCACTGTGCCAGGCAGTCTTGGGCGCACACGTACATGCACACCAAAAGCAAGTGTAGCGAATGTGACGGCAACATATTTCCAGCGATTAGCTTCCTTTGCTTGGGCTCACGTTCGCCCTGCAGGGCAGTGCAAGAAGGGCGGAATTGGCGAGGGCTGTGACAGGTATGCCCGGTTTGACGCTAGTGGGATTCATATTTTTGCGTCGGCGGCTAGGCAGGGGTCGTCTGTGCTGGTGGATCAAGGCTAGCGGGCTTCACAAGTGATGCCAGGGCCAGACTCTTGGCCAATCCATCGGGCAGGGCAATGATCCCACAACGCTTTCGTAAAGGCGGCCCAATGGTCTGTCAAGGTCGTTCGCTTTTGAGAAGGTTCTATGTTCTACGGTACGCTGTTTGGGTCAGGTCTTCGAAGGAGTGGGCCAGAGAGGCCACAGCGACCGTGTACGCTGAGGCCCCAGGCTGTAGGAATGCGTGGATGAGCTGCGAGACCCCGATGCGACACTTGTCCGAGGCGCTTGCCGAAGGAAGGGAGTTGACCGCGCCTGGTTCGGGAAGACGAGAAGCGTATTTCGCGTTCCGTCTCGTCGGCCTCACGTTTCCAAATATTGTGTAGCCGCCGTGCAGCTCAAACTTTAGGCACGACCCCTTACGCGGGAGGCAATTCTGGTCACCGTGACCAGGGCCTGGGGCCGTCTGTCGCCTACGATTTACGCTGTTACGTGTCTGTATGGGGTGGAAGCGGACGGGGCTGGGACGATGACAAATCCGCTCCAGAGCGTTCCAGAACGCTCTGGGAAGGCCGCGGCGCCCGAGACATCCTCCAGAGCCGCCGGATTCCAGAGGTTCTCGATCTATTCTCACCCAATTTTACCCTCGTCATGGCTTCGTCTCAGGAAGGTTTTTCTGGGCGTCGTCGTCCCCGTCGCCCAGGATCGAGCCCCGATCCTCGATGCAGCAGCGCTCGATGGCGTACCTTCGCTGTCCGAGTAGTCTCGCGCTGCGCTCGCCCAGGTCGAAGGCTCGAGGCCACGACGATCTCTCGCGCCGCGTCGACGCCGGCCTGCCCGGACGTCGTCGTCGTCGTCGCCGTCGTCGCCGTCGTCGTCGTCGTCGTCGCCGTCGTTGTCGTCGTCGTCGTCGTCGTCGTCGTCGTTGTCGTCGTCGTCGTCGTCGAGGATCGAGGTGCGAGGTTTTCGGAAGTCTTTGGGTTCATTTCGGGTCTCCGTCGGGCTCTGGAGGCCTCCGGAGTATACGGCGAGCCTCTCGGGCGGCTGGCCGAGCGGTGCCAAGCTACATATATCAAGGTCTCATCCCCCTCGACAGCCTTGGCAGTAATGCAGGGTCTGGTAGTGGAAGTGCGCCCAGCTACGCCTCCGGGAGCCGGCGAATGCCGGTTCTGGTCTCTCGTGGGGGTCATCAGGTCCAGGGGGGCAGCATCGTCGTTTGGAGGAATGTGCCCTTCGAAGCTCCCTGCCGAAGCCAGATCCTGGCTTGTAAGGGTCCAAATGTTAAGTTGTACTTCGCATGGGAAGGGTGGACATGCCTGGGGTGGTATTTAGAGAAACCCACACGGGCATGATGCGAGCAGCGCAGTGAGGTGCAATAGGCCATTGTTGGAAAGAGAGGCGCTGCCGCCGGTCATCTGCGAGGGAGGCTACACGGCGTTGCGCCGTCCCCTAGGACGAAGCACGCAATAATTTCACCTAGCGATCGTGCGGTTGGTCGGGGGGAGCTCGGAAGCCAAAAGCACCGCCAATATACTGGGATGCCTTCCTTGAGTCCGCGGCCCCCATGGGCGAATAGAAGCTTTCCCACGGTTTGTGTTACCTTAGCAGGAGAGCGCTGTTTGCTTATTCTATTATTCAACCAAGGCAGCGAGCCCGGGTTGTCGTCGATGTCGTCGACGACGTCAAAGAGGTGGCCTCGGATTGCTTGACGCGAAATGCACTTGTGCAGCTGTTGTTCTCAGTGCTCCTTCTTTTTCTCCTTCTTTTCGTCCTCCGTTTTATGTGCGCGTCTGCCTTCGCATCTGCTGAGGGACGTTCACCTATGTACCCGATGTCTCCGTGTGTCAACACATCATCTTATTGTGCTCCTCCGCCACCTGCCCCGCCTCCACCTCCACCCCGTCCACAACCTCCGCCTCTTCCTCCACGTGATCCGCACCCTCCCTGTCCTCCTCACGCTCCGCCTTCCCCCACACGGGGGGGCTGCCTCGGAGGGGTGGCCAGAGCAACGACTCGTAGCAGCATGCTTGAAGAGCCATGGCCAAGTGTTGGGACTCGGTGTGACAAGGAAGTGGGGAGGAGGAGGGGTGAAGCAGGAGGAGGATCACCAAAAGGATGTGAGGGATGATGAGGTTAAAGATGGGTAGCGATGATGACGAGGGAAATGACGAGGACGAGGGGGAGGAGAAGGAAGAGGAAGATAAGGAGGATGACGACGATGACGATGGTGATGATGATGCTGATGATGATGACGATGATCATGCTGCTGCTGATGATGATGAGGATGATGGCGACGACGATGATGATGAATGTGATGGTGATGATGATGCTGACCATGATTACGATGACGATGCTGATGACGCTGCTGCTGCTGATGCTGATTATGATGCTGCTGCTGATGATAATGATGATGATGATGATGATGATGATGATGATGATGATGATGATGATGATGATGATGATGATGATGATGATGATGATGATGATGATGATGCTGATGCTGATGATGATGATGATGATGATGATGATGTGGACGATGATGATACTGCTGCTGCTGACGATGACGATGATGATGGCGATGCTGATGCTGCTGATGACGATACTGCTGCTGATGATAACGATGATGCTGATGTGGATGATGATGACGCTGATGGTGATGGTGATGATGATGATGGTGGTGATGATGATGGATGATCACGACCATGCTGATGATGATGAGGATGACGACGATGATGAAGATGATGATGATGATGCTGATGATGATGCTGATTCTGAGAATTAGGATGATAACGATGATGCTGCAGATGATGACGATGCCGATTATGATGATGATGATGATGCTACTGGTGACGATGCTGATGATGATGATGATGATGATGATGAAGGCGATGATGATGATGATGATGATGGCTATGTTGTTGATACTGATGTTGATGATGCCGATTATGCTGATGATGCTGATGATGTTGCGGACGACGATAATGATGATGCTGCTGATGATTGATGGTGATGATGAGGATGCTGATGATGCTGATGATGATGATCATTATGGTGATCCGGCTGATGATGACGATGCTGATGTTGTTGATGATGATGATGATGATGATATTTATGGCCATGCCGATGATGATGGCGATGCTGCTAATGATGCTGCTGATGAGTCATTCGGATGATGACGATCATACTGATTTGGATGATGATGACGATTCTGATGATGCTGGTGATGATTCTGATGATGATGACGATGTTGCTGCTGATGCCGGTGATGATGATGATGACGATGCCGATGACGATGACGATGATGATGACGATGATGCTGATGGTGGTGATGATGATGACGATGCTGCTGATGATGATGATGTTGATGATGATGATGATGATGCTGATGCTGGCGATGATGATGACGACCATGTTGATGCTGAGGATGATGAGGATGATCATGAGGATGATGCTGATGATGATGATGATGATGATTATTAGGATTATTCTTATTGTCATTATTCTTATTATTATCACCATTCTGGTGATGATGATGACGATTATGATGATGCTGATGATGATGCTGATGATGATGATGATGATGATGATGATGATGATGATGACGATGACGATGACGATGACGATGATGATGATGATGATGATGATGATGATGATGGTGATGGTGATTATCATGATGATGAGGATGATGATGATGATGATGATGATGATGATGATGATGATGACGACGACGACGACGATGATGATGATGATGATGATGATGATGATGATGATGATGATGATGATGATGTTGATGTTGATGACGATGGTGGCGGGGGAGGAGGAGCCCGACTGTCTTCTGGCTCCTTGTGCACGCGGGGTCCCTTAGCTGTCAATTGCCACCCCTCCCGCCCCTAGCAGTAGGACCCAGTTGAAGGGAGGAGGAGGAGGAGGAGGAGGAGGAGGAGAAGGAGGAGAAGGAGGAGGACCAGTGTAAACCCAAGTGTCATCAACGATGTTGGAGTAAACCCTCCCTCCAAGCTCCCGCTTCATAGGCCCATACAACGGTGCATTTCC